CATCAGATGGAGAAATTTCCTGGCCGATGCGGTTGTACGTTGGCAGAAGCATACAACCGATTTCCAGAAAGAGGAGAAGAATTTATCCGATCAAATCGAAGCAGCACGACAAGCTCTCCTACAGGCTGTGCAGAAGTTCGAGGAGTCAAAGACGGAATTGGGAGACCAAGCGATTCACGTCGATGCGGAAGCTGCTGCAATGAACGAGGAATCGGACAATCCAGACAAGAATGCTATGGGTGTGGCATTGCAGGAAAGTCTCACGACAATGTCAGCCCAGTTGCAATCTTTGCAGGCCTCAGCAGAAGCCATGGTCACGGAAGAGGTCAACTCCAACAAGCGTCAGAGAACGGATGGAGGAGAGGGCAAGGCATCATTTGCAACAAGCTCGGGTGTGCAAGATGGATTGCCATCTGCTACTGCGCCTGCAATGCAGCCATTTGCCGACCGACAGAAGCCTTTTGTCCAGCCCGACAAGCAGTGACTGAAGAGTACACTTGTCTAGGGCATGATCAGGATCCACTGATTCTCAAGTGGACACATAGTGCATGCAATGAGCCATGGTTTGTCCCTGAATGGGACGCCATTGAGCGAGCCAATGACTTGTCATGGAAATTTGGCTTCAGTTCCAGCAAGAGCTTTTCCACTGAGAAGGTGAAACAACCTACATGCGGGCGTGGTAGGAATGTTCATTTTTCCTCAGATGTTGAATTACGTTTTTGCGGATTCTCTGATCCAGTCAGTGCTTCCATCAAGACCACAGAGCAGTTTATCAAGCAATGGCCACAAAAGCCATGGAGTTTACATTTGCCAAAGACAGATCCAAATGAGGGTGGAACTTCCTTGGAACCGCTGTCCTCCGGGGCCGTGTCGATCCGGAAGAACCACAGTTTCCCAGATTCAGAGCAATTCCGAACCACAGATGCTTTTCACAATGTTCCATCAACATGGTTCCCACAAGATAATACCAATGGTCTCGATCATGAAGATCCTGAAGATGAACTTCAACATTTCCTCCATGAAGAACCTGAATCAATACAAATCCTTTTTGATGCCTTTTTGCGTGAGGGACTCATTATTGGGCCAAGCCTCACTGAAAGCGTTTTCCTGAGATCATGGCACATTGACCATATCAGAGAACATCGCTGTTGGCACTATAGGATCATCGAATTGAATGGACACTGGAGGACTTGGTTCGCAGACATTCTTTCTGCATGGCGAGACAAAAATGATCAGAATGAAGACACGATCTTTAGTATCGTATATCCCAATCCGCCGAGAAGCATTGCAGCCAGAAGGGGAGTATGGGATGAAATTTTGTTTGACATCATCATTGCACAAGGACTTGAAGCTCCTCGAAGAGCGGGCTTGATTTCTGTTTTGCATCGTGACGACCCAAATGCAAGAGTGCGATATGCATTGGCTGCATCCTTGCCTGAAGACCTGAGTGGTCACCAACTTGTACAAAGCGGTGAATATTTGCATGAGTGTAATACCTTCATTTGCACAATCAGGCATGGTATGATGACCATTCCGTTCACCATGGCTCCAGTGCACATGATGCAAGATGGTGATTCTTTCACAATTGCTAGCCGAACTGGTGTGACCAGTGATGGAGCTGCCAGCAGCTCCATGCCTCCAAATGCCGCAGCCAAGAGTGATGATGACACCATGCATGAAGAAAGCAGTGAAGAGGATCCGGGAGACTCTGATGATCCTGCTCCATCGTCGGACCCACAGGATCCCTCTAGCATGCAAGGAGTACACATTTTCAGGCTGGGACATCAGCAAGTTTTCAACAGGTTAAGATGGGACACAGCCGATCACATCTTGCAAGACGCAGCCAGATCTGTGCGTGTGCAACCTGCACAATGTGTGTGTTTCCATTATCTGCAGGTCTGTCCTGATGATCATGAGATGCAACAAGAAGCAATCATATTGCAACACGTCACTGACATTGCGCCAGGGTCCACCGAAAAATTGATTCTTATCGACATCGAACTGCATGCGGCAAGTGTGTCAAGCATTAGCATTCCACAAGCACCAAGAGTTTTGCGACAGGTCCATAAGGTTGTGCCAGTTTTGACCAGACAGCAGGTGTTACACATTGCCAGAGTTTCTACATATTGTGAATGGATGGCGAATGGATGTTTTGTTTTCTTCAACAGGGTTCTATGGTCTATCCAGGACCAAGGGCCGAGAAGAATCACCCACGGACTGTACGTCCGCATCGTCATCCCACCGCCGCCTGACCTTTCCTGGGACTTGGCACATGCTTTGAGAGTCTTTGAAGAGACAGCGGACCTATTTGAAAAACCTGAAGCTTTTCGCCTTGCTACTGGCATCTTGCGACGCGCATATGCACAGACTGAGGTTGAAGAACCGACAAACGGACCACAGGAAGGAATAGGTACCATCTGTCAGTTCAAAGGTGCAGATTTAGGTCCTTATGACATTGATGTGCCAATCACCAATCCGCCACGAGCATATCAAAGACGTCTTAGACCTGAGCATGATGGAACTATGCAATGGCTGCTCGATCTTGGCCAGATCTTTGCAGATCAAGCACAGGAAGAAGCATTTGTAGATGAGCCAATGTTGTATGTCCAAACTTGGTTTGTCAATCATTTACATCACACTTCATGCCGCACCCCTAGACCGTTGAGATTAGAAAGGTATTCCATCACCTGGATTGATGACTTCAGACAATTGTGGTCAGATGTTCTGCGAAGAAATGAAGTCTTTTCCTTGCGTGTTGTGAGACCGAATCCACCTCAACCGAGATCTTGGAATTATGCATGTCATGTCATTGTTGAACAAGCAGTGCATGATCATCGCGCGGCATGCCTTCTCACTGCATTGTTTGAAGGAGACAGAACCGATGCTATCAATCAAGGTGCTTTTTCCCTTCCAACCATCATACGCCGTCAAACACTCATTGACACCATGGAAATTGAACCGTATTGTGAAGGACGTATTTGCACTGCGACCTGGGGCAATGTGCCAATTCATTTAGTTGAAGCCACCGAAATCGCCTCAGGCTACAGTATCCGCATCCGAGTACGTTCAACTCAAAGCCAGGTCCCCATTGAACCTGGTACACAGGAACATCACTTTGATGACTTGGTCTTGATGCAAGTTCCGAATGATGAAGTCCATCTCATGCAGCGCCCTTGTGGTACAGAACAGCACGGAACCCAACTTCCTACGCATAATGATGAATGCAACGCATTTGCATTGGACCCTCATGCTCCAGAGTTTCGACCGGGTGCATGGAATATCGCTGCACAACCTGAGCACATACAGGATTTGTACACGCAGTGGTCCCAGCGGGCATTTTCTTGGGCAGGTGAAGCTGCGGTTAGCAACATTGTCACGTGGTTTGTTGACCATCGTCATTTCATCCACTGTTTTTTTTGCTGGCCGAATTGTCACGCTCCATGAAGATTTTGAAAGTTGGGAACAAAGAATCCGGCACACCTGGCAAGACATGCTCGACCATAATGCTCAACTTGAAATTCACACTGTTACTCCTGTCCCTCCCAGACTTGAGCCGTATGTGGCTGCACATGTGGTATTAGTCCAAGCTCCACGAGAGGACTGGGTAACATCTCTTGTTTCAATATTTGATCGTGGCATGTATGGACCCGAGCCACGAAGGGCAGCTGTCACCACGCATGAACACATCCGAATTGAAAATCTGCTCACTACATGCAACTATGATCCGGTGTGTTTGAATCCACAAAATGCAGTTCATTGTCAAGCTTGGTATGATCAACTGCCTTTGCCGCCAGGATATTTGTTGCCGGGTAGGTCAGGTTATGGGATTGTTGTTCATGTCCAGAGACGGCCTGCGCCGGTATATGTACCACCAATTGCACCTGAACAGGAAGGCCATGTCTTGTTGCAGACCAAAGCCACTCCAAAACATAAAGCCATTGTATGCCTTGATGAATGCGTCCCTGCTGAATCTCATGATCTGGTACCAATCACACTGATTGATGGAAGTAGAGATGATGGTTTCCCATCACAACTCTTCTTGCCAGATCCAGTACGTGCAGATGCAATTGAACATGAACTTGCAGTGATGGGATGGATCAGACATGCATACATGCTGAAAGGAACCGGGTTTGCTTTTTGTGTTGATTGTGCATGGAGCCCACCGCTTGAGCAATTCTGTTATGTATATTTCTCGCCGGGAAATTGCGACAGAGATTCCATCATTTTGCATCTTGAGCATGCACATGCAGATGCCAATCGCCATATGCGGGTGCTCCATTCCCTTGGTTTCTGCCGTGCAGTCATCGTTGCTTCGAATGTTGTACGAAGAGGCCTTGCCCTGATTGAGTACCACAACAATGAACCAGCACTGGAAGACCAGGAGGCAAAGATTCGCACACAAACACCATGGCCAACACCGATGCCTATCATCCAACCAAAGCCTTTTTTCGTATCTCATGATTTCGACGCTGATTCTCCAGCGCATTGCCTCGACCTCGGAATTGATTTGGCCGCGCTCCGAGAGTTCTTCCACACTGGTGATGAGGTACTTTGCAAATGGCATGGCCATTTGGAACTGCCTGACATTGTTCGGAATGAGCTGCAGCGTAGGGGGATGCATGAGGATTGCTCACATCCACTGGAAAACTTTGACAGGTTAGTAATTTATACTGACGGTAGTTCAAAGGCACAGAATCGCCGCAAACCACCGCTCTGGGTTCAGGATTGTGACGTTCCAGGTTCCAGATGCATGGGCTTTCTTAGTCCTCGGCGAAACCTATACGAATGAAGAATCCCAGCCAAAGGTCACCCTCATTGGATGGCATGCACAATGCGTCACCTATGAGGAGCAGCTCACGCACTTCCTTGGCACTACCCAGGTGGGTTCGGAACATGCCGAACGAGAAGCACTTTTCTGGGCTGCTATCTGGAGATTATCGAGGAACACAACTGTTCCTACGATTTTCAGGTCTGACTCGGTTACTACAGCCGAACAGGCCATGGGGAGAGCGGGATGCAATGATGACAATCCAACCTTTGGTGCGTTAAGAAGTGTCTTTCAAGCTTTGCAGGCTGCATTACCCCCTGACTGCGTAGATGCCCAACATGTGCGAGGGCATGCAGGCGATCCCTGGAATGAGATGGTCGACTTTCTCGCCAAGTCTGAAGCGGCGAAAAGCCACAATTTGAAGCGGCAACCGGTCAATCTACATGAGTGGAAAACGGTATTGCCTTATATGTGGATGCTCTTTGATAAATCGGCTGGCCTGCCGAGTTTCAAGGGACATGGTTTTGACGTATGTCCACCTCAATTGCCTGGTCCTGATGCACCTCAGCATTTCCCGCCTGACACCACTCAGGTTGCAAGACATCACATGGCTATTAGCCTTGCTACATGCAATGTTAGCTCCCTGTATGCAGGACCAGAAGGATTCGGAGGTAAACTGACCTATTTGCGTCGGCAGATGTGCGACCTCCGATTAAATTTCTTGGGCATTCAGGAAGCACGTAGCACAGCAGGCACCTACAAAGCAGATGATGTCATTCGTCTTGCAAGCGGATGTGTCAAAGGTCAACATGGAGTTGAGTTGTGGATCAACACAAAACAACCTATTGCTTATAGGGACAATAAACCATGCTTTGTTCAGATGTCGCAGGTCCAAGTCATTCATGCAGATCACCGAAGACTCCTTGTGAGACTTATGCATCCATGTATTGACTGTCATCTATGCGTGCTGCATGCGCCACAAAGTGGACGAGCACTGAGTGAACGAAGGGCATGGTGGGAGGAAACTCAGCACATTCTGAATCAGTATGTTGGCGATCTGTCAGTGTATGTGTTCATTGATGCCAATGCCAAAACAGGACCTTGTTGTGAACCGATTGTTTTCACGCATGATGACTCCAGTTCCGCCAATACTGCATTTCTGATTGAGTTTTTGAAAAATTTCGGATTATGCCTGCCTTCCACCACAGCCATACACAGAGGACATCATGGTACATGGACCGCACCTGATGGTCTGACACATCATCGGATCGACTTCATTGCAATTCCGCAGAATGAAATGTGTTTTTGCACGCAGTCATGTAGTATTGACCATTTTGAGACTGGTAATGGCCATGAAGATCATCAAGCCGTCGGAGTCCAGCTCCAATGGATTCAAGACCGTAAGATCAGACCATCTACCGGCAGAAAGACTGGCAGACATGATCGCAATGCAATTATAGCACAGGAACATGTGATTGACCTCGCTGCCATTCAGACATGTGCGTGGAACGCAGACATTGAAACGCAAGTGCAGTCACTCAACCAAGCCTTACACTGCACATTACAGGCTGCATGTCCCAGACATAAGCAGGGTAAGAAAAAGCAATACCTACCAGCTGAAATCTGGGAATATCGAGTGGCCAAACTTCATTTGCGTCGACGATTGCAAACTGCCAGACGCCAGTCTTGTCGTGATTCTCTCAGACTTGTTTTTTGGGCATGGAAGCATCATGATGTGGAACAGGATCACACCGCTCAGATCTTGCACTATCATGCAGTTCATGCAAACACAGTGATTTGCTCCATTTTCCACTTGAATTGCAAGTATTATCGCATCACGCGTAGACTACGACGTGAATTGCAGCAATCGAAATCACGTCAATTATCCCATGCACTTGAACAAATCACGGAGGTCACGCCAGCCAGCACATTGTTGCAAACCATGAAGCCATTCATTGGGCCCACAAACTTGAAAAAACAGAAAAAGAAAGGCCTGCCTGCAGTGCGCAAGCAGGATGGGAGTGTTTGCACAACTCCGGAAGATGCCCAAAACAGATGGATTGAATTCTTTAGCCACCTTGAAGGAGGCACCAGAATGGACCAAGCCACCTATCGGACAATTTGGCGCCAGAATTTGGCAAAATTTCTTGTATCTGACTCGCTTTCGATTTCCATCACTGAACGGCCTAGTCTTGCTGAACTTGAAGCAGCTTATAGACGTGTGCCATCAAGTAAGGCTGTGGGAAACGACGGCATTCCGCCGGAACTTTGTCATGTGAAGGCCAGAGACATGGCCAGATTGACATATGCGATTCTGATCAAGGTCTTTGTCTATGGTCAAGAAGCAATTGAACACAAAGGGGGCCGATTGGCCATTGCATGGAAACACCGCGGAGATGTGCGTGATTGCGACACCCACAGATCCCTGCTTGTTTCAAGCCACATGGGAAAAACAATCCATAGGGCACTCCGGCAAAAGCATCATGGTTTGTACACAGCATACATGCAAGCCCAACAGCTTGGAGGACGCCCAAAAATTCCTGTAGGAATTCCATTGCATCTTTCCCGAGCCTTTCTCAGATGGCAGGCAAGATTGCAAAGACCTACAGCATGCATTTTCCTTGACCTTGCAGAAGCATTCTATCGCCTGATCCGTCCTCTTGCTCTCGGGGGTGATCTTTCTGACGATGACATCGCAGTCATTGCAACCAGATTAGGATTAGGAAAAGATGCTCTGCACCAATTTCATGCCCAGCTCAGGGAACCTTCTGCCTTGCAACAAGCCGGAGCAGGCCCGATTGTGCAAAAATTCCTTCAAGCTCTGCATTGTGATACGTGGTTCCAGATTGGAACGCAAGATGATGTCGTTCGCACTGCAATCGGCTCCAGGCCGGGAGACTCGTACGCAGACGTGTTCTTCGGTTTCTTATGGGCCCAATTATTGCAACGCTACGAAGAGCAGCTTGTGGCTCATGATGTGATCGACATGATTCCTGCCTATGACCTGCCAAATCTGTTCGACCAAGCGGAACCGCCGCATGAAAGAGTCCCTTTTCTAGGGCCGACCTGGATGGATGACCTGAATGTTTGCATTGCAGCAGACACTAATGCTGGCGTGGAACGCAAAGCAGGTCTTGCCATGAGCCTGCTACTTGATCAATGCAGGCATATGCACATGGAACCTAACCTACGCAAAGGGAAGACTGAGATCATGTTCACGTTTAGAGGCAGCCAATCACGTGAGTTCAGAAGGAAATATTTCTCCATTGACCAGGGTTTGACAGTCGTTGGTGAACATGCCACCGTGCAAGTTTCTGTAGTGAGCAGGTATCTGCACCTGGGAGGAATCCTCCACCATCGTGACATTGATCGTGTTGAAGTGTCGCGCAGATTAGCTATCGCACATCAAGCATTCACGGCACACCGTAGGATTCTGTCTCACAACTGTCAGATCCAATGGAGAAAGCGCCGGGAAATCTTTGTGACACTGATCCTCAGTAAACTTGTGTACGGATTGGAATCTTGGACATTGAAATCTCAGAATGTGAAAACACAATTCTACAGTGGAGTGATGAATCTGTATGAACGATTACTGAAACTGCAGCATGACATGCACATCACAGACCTGCAATTACTTGCCCGTGCCGGATTGCCTTCACCTGATGAATTGCTGCGGAGTTGTAGGCTAAGGTATTTTGGCACTTTGCATAGATGTGGACGCGCTGCTAATTGGGGAGTCATTGCAGAGGATCATGCATGGATTGAGCTTATCAATGATGATCTTCAATGGCTTTGGTCTCAGATATCCAATACCACAGACCTGAAAGATCCTGCGCATCATTATCCAGCATGGAAGGATTTGCTCACTTTCCACAGTTCCTACTGGAAAAAGCTGGTGCGAAGGGGAATTGCACATTCCATTGCGCAGAGGTACAATTATGTGGTTACTCTGGATTTCCATGGCAGCATTGGTGGCATTTTGTATGACCATGAATGGGTAACGGAGTTACCGACAGATGCCACCAGAAGTGAACCACTTGAGGCTTATGGATGCATGTGCTGTCATCGAAGATTTCTCACTCATGCTGGAGAAAGCGTTCACATGTTCAAGAAGCACGGAAGGGTAGCTCCCGCACGATTCTTATTTGACGAGACGCATTGCCCAGCATGTCTTCGTGAATATCACACAAGAGCGAAGGTTTTGGCACATCTTCGCCATGCTAGTCGATGCCGCCAGGCATTGATCGGACAACGCATGCAATGCACCCTCGAACCAGGAGCAGGGTCATCAGCTGATCGAGATTTGGCAATTGGCACTGATGGTGCACTGCCGTTTCAACAAGCTTTTGGACCCCAGCGTCACGATGTACGTTTTGCCGATTTTGATCAACACAATCTCCGTCTTTTTGAAGATCTGTATTTGGCTTTGCTTGACATCACCTCTGATGATGACTTAGAGAAGGTCATTCGAACTGAAATTTGCAAACACCCTGTCAGCTGGACGGTCTGTCAAAGGACTCTCCAGCATTTCCTTGCGATTTTTACGTTGCAGGATGCAGAGGTTTTGGCATTTTCATTTGACACAGTTTGCAGATGCATGGAGTATTTGGCTACGGATGCAGCGTGGCCTTTTTTGCAGACGCAATGTGTCAGAGAAAGAAGTCATATGACCAATGACATCAGTGCATGGGAAGCATGGTTTGCGGAAATTGCATGTGATCCACCTGCCTCATGGCAGGAATTACAGCCATTACCAAGATCTTTGAGCCGGCAAAAAATCATCCTTCACGCATATGCTGGGCGCAGACGAAGAGGAGACATCGAATGGTACATTGATGCTTGTGCCGATCGTTTTCCGACCCATGTCATTCATGTTGCTTCAGTTGATATCGTGATTGATGCCACCTATGGAGATATTTCAAAAGAAGAGACCAGATTGTTTTGGACTGGCCATATCTTGCAAGGGCATGTCGTTGGATTCCTGGCCGGACCACCCTGCAATAATACATGGAGCAGAGCACGACACCATGTAATTGACGGGGTCCGAGGACCGAGGGTAGTCCGCACTCCCAGTGAACCTTGGGGCATGGAGTCACTGAGCCTGAAAGAGCTCCAACACGTGAGCATCGGAAATCTTTTGCTAGGTTTTGCACTCGTTTGCATTTCTGCTTTAGCAATGAGATCAGGCACAGGACTGGTTGAGCATCCCAAAGACCCGGAACGTGATGAGATGGTGAGCATTTGGCGCCTGCCGGTCTTGAGAGCGATCTTGCAGCTTCCGAATGTCCGACTGATCCACTTAGCGCAGGGTTTGTTCGGAGCGCCATCAGCAAAGCCCACCACACTGATGGTGCTAGGGATGTCCCAACTGGAAAAGTTCTTGCATGCCAACCGAGTGACTCAGGAGATTCCAACTGGTGCTTCCGTAGGAAAAGACCAACACGGCCAATTCAAAACATCACCATTGAAAGAATATCCCCCACCCATGTGCATGGCAATTGCCGATGCACTGTGCATGGACATAGTCAGCACGGAGTGCGACGACACACAAGTGCCTGCTGACCTGGTCGCACGATGTAAAGCCATGACCTGTCAGTTTTTTGGTGCTTACATAGGCCCTGATAGCTAAGTGCTATGGGGTGCCGTTGAATTCAGCAGATGAGTCTGCCGCAGCGATCGTCGCAACTACAGGCAGTGAGGAAAAAAAAAATATATATATATTATAATATATATATATATACTGTATATATACGTTCAATATAGAACATTTGCAACCCAACCTTGCCAGTGAAACACGTTGATGCCGAATGCTCATCAAACGTGGCAATGGAAAATCCCCGAACACAATGGAGGTTTCAACTATTGGGACAATCATTCATGCGTAGGGAATTTTCCATTGTCATGTTTGATTGCCGGATGGTGTAAGTTAGAAAAACACTTGCGGGGTATGTGAGATTAATTGTGAGGGTCATAGCAGACTTTCCAGGGAGGGGCTGAAACATGCTGAAAGGACCATGCGTGCTGCGGATGCCAGGAACGATTCTCACAGGAATCAGTTCTACTGGGATGCTTTGGCTGCGTGTGTCAAGGGCAAGTGTGTCATGGACATTGGTGACTCAGCTGGTGGATTCTGGTGGGTGTTGCACTTGGGATAACTATGGTAATATTGGTTATAACCTGCATAAGTTGGGATATACACAGCCACTATGTATCACTATGGTTATATTTTAACATATTATAAACTGTATAAGCCACTTGTGAGTGGAACTGGTCCCCCAAGTATAGTGGTAGATGCCATACGCTTATATAGTACTTTCTTTTTCCCTACGGAATATTGTGAAAGATGGGTTGGTATGCAGCCAGCTCGAGAGCCGCCCTTTGCTTGTGTTGTATTTCCACTACCCAGATGGCTCCATCCCCATGTGGAGCTTGGGCGGAACCTCGCTAGAAACCGTCCTTCAGAGATCTAACCAGAAATTCATGGAACACTGCAGACATGAAACTGGTGATGAAATCCCATGTTTCGTAGTCACTATGAATCACTTTAAATCACCATTGATAATCATTAAGCACTATTGTTTCCATATGTGTTCCATTTTTTGGCGCTTTGAAACACTTAATGATAAGCAGGGGGGCCTACCAAACATCCCTCAGCTCAAGAAGATGCGTTGCGTATGTGCAAACAAGAACAGGCTAAGAGCAATCAATTCGGAGAATTGGTTGAAGAAATGTTGAAGGGATAACCTGCAGGAAACCTTTTAGTTGTTTTTTTTTGGGATAAGAACCACATGTTTCCTGTAAGATTTTTGTGACAACAAAACCCACATTCAGAATTTTCAGAAGACACATCCATGCTTAAATCCCACGATGTCCTATAGAAATCTACGGACATCTCCTATAGTTCTTGGTAAAATAGTAGATCAATAGGACATGTCCATGGATTTCAATAGGACATAGATTTCTAGTTCTTGGACATGTCCTATAGATTTCTGCTATAGTTTGGACATCATTATAGTTCATAGATTTTTTACGATTTCCTATAGTTCATGGATCCTATCTTCATCTTCCAATCTACGGTAAAATCCGTCATTTTTTGGCAGGCTCAGGCAGCGGCTTGCTGGCCCTCATGGCTGCCAAGTTGGGCGCAGAGAAGGTGGTGGCCATCGAGGTGCCAAAGCAGCTCCAAGTGGTTTATGACGCCTATATAATACCCGGTATGATATTGATTTAATATATATATATATATCTATATGTACAGATATAGGTGTATATATAGATGTACAGATATGGGTGGGGGGTTCTTAAAAAGGTGGATTCCCAAGTCACCATGGGTTTCCATAGTAAAATTGAGAGGAAGCCTCCATCTGCAAACGATGCCATTCCCCATTTATATTAAACACCCTTAAGAAACCATGGTTTAATATGGATTTTACACATATTTGGGACCATGTAATAGGGATGTTTAATATTAGGGGAAAAGTTGTCTATAGCCCATATATAACACACATTTAATTGGGGATATTCTACATGTAACTGGGGTATAATATGGTTATGAGATGTTATGAGTTATTATATACCCTTTTGGGGTGAGACTTCGTCATATCCGTACTTGGGTTTATGGGTTTTCATGTCTATACTTAGTGGGAAAGATAGGAAACATTATTTACACTGATGAAAATCCAAATTTATAATGATATAGTTTTTGTAGATTGATGAAGATCAGTATACTCAATAGGGACTATTTTGCAGATTTCTCAGTATTTGTTTGGATCATCAAGGAGATGCCCAGTTCGTTTGCTAACTGGGGGGACCCCACCGTAGGGGAAAGGAATGTTTTACTCAACTCAAATGTGTTTGAAAGAAACATGCCCATGATTCATTTTCATCATCATCATCATCATCATGATTTTCCCTGTTGAATGGCCATAAACTGGGGCATTCCCCTTCTTTGGACATGAGTTCTATACTGCCTTTGAAGGGTCCCTAGAATATTTGATCATGGATCCCATGACGAAGGACTCGAACTGGCTAGTGGGTAAGAACGTTGATTATCATGTCCATTTCTGCCTGGTAAGATGATCTTGAAAGAACTACTATAACACACACACATGGCTTCAGTTTTGCATGGGTCCCAACCTGGTGGATGATTATGTATAAACATTGATTGTCCGCCAATATTTTTTTGGTTTGCTTGACAACCCTGTGGGATATTTCCTGTTATCTGAAGTCCAGAAGTATGAAGCACACCCAACTGCTGGAGGATTTTCTCAGGATTGTCCAGCAGGCACCGAGTTCCTATTAGCTACAAAGTAGTGCCCCCGTTGTGAACTCCATTAGCTATGTATATATATATATACATATTATATGCATGTTTGCTTACACCATGCACTATGCACCCTGATTTCCCGAATTATGTCAGTGAAATAAACCAACTTAGCTATCCTTTGGGGGCCCTACCTTGTAGCCTTGCTTGTGCTTGGCAGGCCTCTCGAGATATGGTCGACTTGGCTCGACTGAACGCTGAAAAGAATGGGCAGGCGGATCGCTTGCAGAGCCTCGGTGTTGCTCAGCACAGCGGTGTTCAAAACCCGTGTTGGCTTTGTATAGGATATTTTCCTAACCAATATATTGGGGATTGTCATAATCAATTAGGGGAATTCCTATTCACCAACCAGTAATCAGTAATCATTATGAAACGACAAGGCGTTTTAAACACTGAACATGTCCCGGAATCGCACCTGGCAGAGAAAAACTTGATCCAGAAATGGGATGCAATGGGGTCAGCCACCAACAAATATTATAACAGATAAATATACATCAGATCAGATGAGTTTGGGTAATGTGAGCGGAGCGGAGTGTGATTTGTTTGATGGTTTACATCTACGAAATACAAGTCCATTTGCAGTTTTTGAAGGACGAGGTCCAGAAAAGGATATGCTGTAAATATACGAGATATATTTGCTCATCATATTATACGTATTAATGTAAATTCAAAATGATGATCTACATGACGAAGGTGCTCTCGAAACTTTTGGGATTTCCGATGGGTTTCCCATGGATTCCGAAGGATCATCCATGGCCTGAGTAGCAAAGTCCACGCCAACTGCAAAGCGGAACCTTGGATGGGACGATGGGCTACATGTCGGGGGTTCACTGATTCAGAGCCGGGTAGACATGGAAAAAACACCATGGCTACGGATGAAAATTTGTCAAAAATCAAGACTGTTGAGTGGGGAGGGAAGTTTGGCAGGCACAAACTGTTCAGCATCACATTTTGTGTATCCGGCTGTATACGTATATTTGATCCGTGCCCATGTTTGCCAGCGAAATTAATGACGCCGTTGGGGTTTAGCCCCAAGGCTAAACCGTGGTAGCTGTGCTGAGCTGATGGGGTGCCAAAGGCCAGTTGATGGGATTCAACCCCCCCGTAAGGCAACCCCAACAATGAACCCTTGTTAGTGGCCTTAGTGGCACCCGCAGGGTTCTCTTTGCAAATATGTTATAAATAAATATATATATATATATATATATGTATGTATACACATGTCGATACATGTATATTTACTTGTAGATATACATGCATACATACATACATACCTACCTACTTACCTACCTACGTACATACATACATACATACGTACGTACATACATACATACATACACACACATACATACATACATACATACATACATACATGCATGCATGCATGCATACACACATACATACATACATACATACATACATACATACATACATACATACATACATACATACATACATACATACATACATACATACATACATACATACATACATACATACATACATACATACATACATACATACATACATACATACATACATACATACATACATACATACATACATACATACATACACATATAATTACATTATATATATATATATATTTATTGTGTGTGCATATACTTTATATATTTATATATGTGTTTATATATTTGTAAATAAATAGATTTTTTTTAATATATTTTTATATACAGAGTTTACACACACACATGCGATAGATGTTCTTTATGTTATGTAAGCCCCTGCAACATGGCAACGCTCGGCAACGCTGGTGTCAGGATGTCATCGTCAGCGAGACTTTGGGTGCTTTGATGTTGGGAGAAGGTGCGGTCCGGTTGGGATTCGGTTGGGGGTGACAGGGTTTACCCTCTGGTAAACTAACAGAGCTATGGAACATGGCCCATTTATAGTTGATTTACCTACTAAAGATGGTGATTTTCCATAGGTAGACTAACTATGCATATGGAAAATGGCTCATTTATAGCTGGTAAACTAACTATTGATATGGAAAATGGCCCAATTTATAGTTGATTTACCTATATATTAAAGATGAAAATGGTGATTTTCCAGTTTGCAAACTGTTAGTTTACCAGAGGAGACTAGGGGTTACCCTTTGGTAAACTAACTATGGATATGGAAAATCACCATGTTTAATAGGTGAGTCATTTATACATGGGCATTGTCCATATATGATGTTCGTTTTCTGGTCGGGATTTTATCATTTCAAAGGGATTTAAAGGGGATATAGCCCATATGAGTAAAGTGGTTGTTGGTTTCAAACGCAGTTCATTTCTAACCATTTGACTGGGATGATGATCCCTAATGACGAGCAAACTTTTCAGAGGGAGTGAAACGTGATGAAACCACCAATCAGGGCAATATGAGTAGAACATATGTAATGAGGCAATAACCAACTTGAAACAAAAAACATCAGGACAGCTTGAGCACTTTCTTGGGTTCAATATCCCCTGCAATCATATCTCCAGTTTTGTATTTTCCTTTGGTGAGGGGGCAATGCCATGTATCTCAAGTTACTTGAGATAAAACGCCAAGCCTTAAGTTTGAGTTTCATTCAATCTCGAGGCCGCAGATGCAGGAACAAGTAGTTGTGGTTTGCATGTCTTAGTATGATCAATCCTGACAATGCTGGATTGAACATGTGCCGTTTGCATGTTGTGGATTCATTTCAAATGGGTGATGTTGATGTGTTTTTTCAAACTCCATGATGATGCAGATGATGTGGTTTGCTGATTTCTTGCACGCTCCGAGCTGGAAAGATGAAGCCATTCGTTATATTTCATCCGCCGAGATTCTTTCCCAGGCATGTTGGACTACATGGCTGATGCCCGTCAACGCTTGGGCAAGGCGGTAGCGGGTTGCAAGCGTTCTTCCATTGACGTGGGTTTGTTTGAACATAGACCACCCCCAAACCTAGTAGTTTATCATCATTTTCCCTATTACATTGACAATGTGGCGGGTATACATGGGTATACCCCATTTCTCGGAACACCCAAATATCAAGACCTGTTTTGCAATGTCTTAAAAGGCTACGACATGTCATGACCACTTTGATAATTGTCCTGTCTATATAATATATATATAATTTATATATGTGTGTGTGGCATTGTGCTTCATACTCATTCTCGTAGCCAAACTATTTCCCATCTAAAACATGATTCATTTGGTCTAGCCCTTGGAGAATCCCGAGCTTGAAGTCAAACATACCAACCATATTCATTTGAAAATCAATGTTGATGCATGGTTTTCCATACTGTGTTTTTTCCTATCACTTCTTATCACATGGAAAACCATGGAGGTTTCACTCAAGCCGCGACCTGAGTTTCCTGATTTGTTTTTTTGAGCTGGAGGATCATCCTCCCAAGTAGGCTTACTCCATGCTGTACAGTAAGGGGAGATACGAAACTGTACAACCCTCCACTTCATTGACTCCTTACGCATTGCGCAACTCAAAGCTATTGCCGATCAAGTCAGTTAAACATAGTACAACCATTTTAAACCACTGAACATCAATATGTCTCATAATTCTAGATAATCTGTGCAACCCAAAATTACAACCAACCATTTGGGGATGGTTTATACCACCCATTTATTGTGTTTTTTGGGATGGTTTATTTAACGGGTTTACCACATTACTAAACCCCACTGAAATTATTTGTGTCGATGCCACATCCCGTGAGGCAGACTGCCAAGTTGTGCCGCGCGGCGGCGCGCAGTTCGCCCAGCTGATTTCCTCGGTGTCCTTAGCCATGGCGCGTTGCCGGATGGAATGGGAGGATGGTATCATGCAACTTTCATGGGGGTTTATAGATGGGTTTATAGATGGGATATATCGATGTTGATCAAGATATGCTTATATTTGTTTGTTTAATGCATATATATATATATTTATATATATATATGTATATCATGGATCTAACATGAGATGTCATGATATATCCATAATCAGATGGGGTTATAAACGAATTTGAATGGGGTTTCTAATTGCTTTTTTGGTGGCTAGGAGCTAGGACTACAGTATCCTGATTCCCTTCTAAGTAGGGAGCCAGTTGGGGCCACTAAGAGTTTCCCAACCACACGATAGGTAAATATATATATATATATGTATAATTGGATGGGGTTACAAACCAACTTATGACTTGTGCAGTTGGCATTTTTTAATGGGGTTCCATCATTAGGGCCTCGTGGGGCGGTTGGGAGGTGTCCAGTGTGCAGAAGCAGTGCAGCTTGGGCTTCGACTTGTCCGCCATCGGCTGCCTTCAGGACCCCCCAAGTGATGGGTTTCAAAATGGCTAGGGAAGTTGATGGAAAGTGCAGCACCAGATTAACATGTTCGACTCTTGGCATTTGATGTTTTGGTTTCACATGTTGTCATTAGATCCATGTTTGTGAAAATTTATATCCCTGGGAAAACGAAACTACGGTATCGATTTAGACCCCGGGTTTGGGGTTTGAACATGGATATACAGTGATATACATGGATTCACTTTTAACACAAGAGCAGCCGCAGATTTAAAAGAAACAATGCTCCGGCTTGAGGACACTGGGAAGATTTTCTTCAGCAAGCAGTGTCGGCCCCAAGTAGAGAAGACTCTTACTGTAATCACAAATAACCTTCCAGCAATTAAATGTGGCAATGGAAATCCCCTCATTTGTATAATCACTTATAATCCTATATAATATTCATAGATGTTTTTTGCCCACTAAAAGATCCATTGACAGTGGGTTTTCCATTGCCATGTTTGATTCCCAGAGGGTTGCCCAGGATTGCCACCGAGGTGGGGCTTCCGTTTGAATAGCCTGCCGGATCTACAAGGCATGTCAGAGAGGATCTCCATCTTTGAAGCAGACTTCCAAAACGGGGATCGGCCACTTGACTCGATGGGCTCGATGGTGTCATGGGAGCGAATCGCCATATCGCCATTGGCGTTGTGTAGCAAAGCTTGGTAATGGGTAAACATGAACAAACACTGGTAAGAAAGGTAAGTAGTGCATTTTGTTTGTGCATTTATATGGGTGTACGCCTCAAAACAAAGGCCCTTGCCGACAAATGCAATAGTTCCTTGATGTTCCTTGTTTTTCACTAGTGTTTGTTTCAAAGGTCAAGCCGTACCGTTTGTTTGTCGATTAAACTGCCACTAGCTTCAATTTCATAGCAAAAACAGCAGCTTTACTCAAGGCCCCCGCTTTTTGTAAAGCGGGTGCAAATCTGTATGAATTGTTTGGTTTGATAAACATTAGTCAACCTGGTCAGGTCACATGAGGAATTCGAAGTTGGTAGCACCGGGAATGTATCGTGCGCTGTTTAGTATGCGCACTTCTTCTAACTGATAATTTCCATATGTCACACTTTAGGATATTTATGGAGTTTATGGATGTTTATGGGCAGCTCAACCATGGCCCAAGCATCGCAGATTCTTCACCCCTTGGCAATACCAAACTTCAAACAATGAATGGAGACTTAAGATTGAATGATAGAGAATTCCGGGGGTCCGGGTTCAACAACCCTCTCCTGGTGGCCTAAAGAGGCGAGATATCCCAGCCATTCAGCACTTCAAGTTGCGCGCCCTGCGGACCGGTGTGATCCACGCGGTGGTTTCTTCCTGGGAGGTGAGCCTGGTGAGTGGGTGTTGGGGTCCACAATGCCATGAAAATCATGAAACCATCCAACTTGATGACTCAATGGTAATCCAACATGATTAGTTGGAAAAAAACAATGAAAATCCATGTTTTTTGCTGCAAATCCATGACATGATTTGTTTATGGCTCCAAACCCATGGAGCTCTTGTGTTTTCTCATCGGGGTTAGAGGCGCCTCTGTGGGGCAGCCTGGGAGGAAAGCCCGCTGAGAGAGAGGGGTAGGATTTATGGATGTTCGAACTGTTCATCCCCGCAAAATATGATGACGTAGATTCTGACACATCCCCATTTGGGCATATATTTTGGTAATTCTACGGTTTGTCATTATTGTTTTATCCGTGCTGATTGGTCCCCTTTCTTTTACCTTCACTATCCGGTGCGGGCAAAAGTACAACCCAAGCCATCACGGGGGATGGACAATGCCATAAAGAAAGAATACCCAGTAATATCAAATATGATTTGGGAAACTATTTGGGGATGATTACCCATTCGTGGTGATTTTGAGGATGGTTCATGATTGGGTTTACCACGTTAGAAATTGAGCATCCCCCCTTTTTGGAGTGATTGAAACATGAGTCACCTTCTGCGTCCCTTTTGTTCGTTAGAGATGGTTTATGGATGTTTATGGCATTGCGGAACCCACATGAAATGAGGCATGGCTCAATATGATTGATGGGCCAAGGGGTGAACAGCGGGTTGATCCAAATGTCGGTGAGATTTTTTTATGACTCCACTGACTGCAAATTATGTAAGAACACATTCCCTTTGCCATTCTTTGGCATCTACAGGTCGAAATCCCGAATGATTGCCTCTTCTCTAGAGGACCAATTGCAGGTCAAGAAAGAGAGGGACCCCCTAAAAAGGAGAACTTGGCCATCAATTACAGTAGCATATAAACATACATTAAACATGTAAAGCCCAAACAGAGGAGTCCCCCTCTTCGTTTTTGGGTGTCTTAAGTTGCTACACATATCAGATCACCACTGCCTTCTGACGCCTTCAGGGATACGTTAGTTCTGTTTTTTTTTGGTTGGTAAATATTGAATGATTGTGTGATTGATTAGTGATGCCACCCATGTTTGCTGGTTCAACCCACCAACTTGATTGGACAGGTTTGGAGTGATGCTGCGAAGAAGCACAAGATCACCACACATCCCGCGCCATGGCTCAGCTTCTTTGTTGGGCCCCAAACTTGAGACCTTCATAACTAACAACCAAAACATACAGAAAAATCCGTGAATTATTTGCATGATATTGGGTCACTGAATTGTTGTGACATGTTTGTATAGATGTTCATTAAACAATGTTGCATAATGTTGCTAAGCTATGTTATGTCTTAGTCTTGATAATGTGTTCAGATGTTTAAGCCAACAAAACCAGCAATTTGCCTTCCCTCCTTAGAACTTCTCCAGTTTGGGATCTAGGAATTCTTGTGTTCAAGTGGAGCAGTCAGAAGAACACCGCAAACTCATGGCTTTATCTTTTGACACTTGGTTCGAATGCGTTCAATGTTCGTATCAATCTATAGCACAAGTTTTTATAGACAGTTCATCATTCAAGTGTGCACAAGCTAGTGATATCAGATACTAATGCGTGCGGTTCTAAGGCCACAGCGCGAACATCACATATCAATACATATCATCTTTGTTTTCAGACTTCTTGGCTCAACATGATTCACCCCACAAATTTGATAGTATTGTTGACGCTGAACATGGAAACATGATATGACCAAATGTTTGGGAACTTTGGCTTCCAATATCCAGGTTTAACCAGGGGTCTACAGCGTTTGACCTTCACTATCTATCTATGGTCTTAGTAGGAAAATCGAGCCTTGTCAGCGGACAAGATGGCATATGGTGGATGATACATGGCGATACAATGTGATACCTGCATCTTTTGAGGGTCGAGTCTATATATACTATGTATATATATATATTATATATATATATATTTATTATGCGTGTATATATATATATATATTATGTATATATATATATACATTATGTATATATATATATACATTGTATATATATATATATTTGTACAGTATATATAGATTATATATATATATTATATAATGTATATATATAATGTATGTATAATGTATATATAATGTATGTATAATGTATATATGCTGTATGTATAATACGTCTAATGTATAAATATATATATGTATATATATATATTGTATATGGAATGTATGCATAATGTATATAATATGTTTTTATTTATGTTTATTTGTATAATATATATATATTTGTATGTGTATGTATATACCGGATTTGTGGCGGATCAATAGCGTCCATTTAATTCTTGCCTGGTTTTTGTTTGTCTCTTCATTCGGCCGACAGGAGGACACCAAAGATCAGCCTTGGGGCTTCGCAAGGGCGTCTTGGTGTTTGTTGTTTTTGGTCCAGGGGACCACAGAGAGGGTTGCTCCACCCTATTGTAAATGATAACAACAGGTAACTTGGTCATTTTTTCCGCTATATTTCGCCAATTTACCACCCCTTGTACCTGGGGTGTTTGGGGCCATATTGAATAATTATATCGAATTTAGCCATCCCATTCTCGCTAACCTAATTTTGGACCATTGCCCAAGGGATGGATTTGGATTGGTTGGGTTTCTTCAGTGATGTCAAAGGCTGTGGGAGGCCCTTCCTGGACTCATCGGCTGTGCACTGCACTCATTGCACTTCTGCACTTTTTGCATCACTTGCGGTCCCTCATAGTCTGATAGGTTATTACAATACTGTATATATATATACGTAAATATAAATTACTTGAAATATATGACCTGTGATCCCCCCAAGCATAAGTACAAGAGATTGTATATAAAATACCGGAGCTGTTGCACGATAAAACTGGTGAACTATCCAAAACATGGGCATCATGTACATGTATGTACATGTATGTCATCATGATGTGTGTCATTGCTATTATGATGTGTTGCTATATGTGGATATTATTTGTTAATAGATCATCATGATCATCGTGTTTTGTCTTTCGACATATTGAACTGATGATGATAAGTAATTAACAAGGATAAGAAAACGTATGATAAGTTAATTTGCACGTATGTATGCATAGTAACCCCCACAAAGATATAAACGTATAATCCGACACACGTAGTCATCATGTACTTCTCTTCTCTATTTTTTTTAATGTTTATTTGTTACACACATATATATGTATATATAATACATACTTATATATGTGTATGTGCCACAGTGCCACACACACATGTATGCATATGTATATATGTAAGAATATACATGCATAGCCACGTTTGGTAATGGCAGTGAATATCGCAGTTCCTGAGGACATGCAGTGGGGACAGGGCCTTCAACTCATCGAGGACTTCGATGCAGCCAACGCCAAGGGAGGCACGGGGACTTGACCAGCAGACATCGGGACTTACCCGTGAACCATGTGAGATTTGGCATTTATAACACCACCAAAAATGGTCATTGAGCCATCAAACATGTGGATGCACAGCAACTACAAAAAATAATTAGGGAGTTAGCCCTAACATAGGGCATGCAAGCAGCAGTGATAGGGATGTAATGATTGGGGGATGACCAGGGGCGATTGTTGAAATCATCATTATGTGTTGCAATTGTTTTCTGGGTAGTAGAGATTGCACGAACATGGTCAGTCGATGAGATGGTCCCTGCTGCAGTTGGGCTGCCAAAGCAGTGCCACGCCATCATATTCCAGTCACAGGTTCGGGTCACCCCATTCGCTATATAGTTGACAACTACCCTTCGGTAATCAAAAATGGCAAATTAACATCTTTATAGATGGAGGCTTTAAAGGGAAGCTCATCTGCAAACGATGGATTTTCGCCAGGTTTGATTGGCAGAGGGTAACAACTCCACAACCAATCGGTTCCCAGTGCTTGGCATGGCGCCCGAAAATGATCAGAAAGATGTGCAAAAACACAATTTTCTATGCACTCCCACCGAATAGATAATGATAGATAGGTAGACAGGTAGGAAGATAGGTAAATAGGTAAAATGGATAGGCAGGCAAGTAGGGAGACGGATAGGTAGCTACCCAGGTAGTCAGGTGATAGCAGGTACAGTAAGCAGATGTAGGTAGATGGGTAGGTAGATAGGTGCAGGTAGGTAGATAGATAAATGATGATAAATGATGATAAACGATGATAAATGATGATAAATGCATGTATTTGGTAGTTCCATTGTAATTTTGGGAGAATCGACTCAGGCGTTGCTGGGGTCCGGGCAGGCGACCGTGCCCTTCCTCCTGCACCCTTCGCTGTGACAGAAGGGGAGGAGATCTACTTGGATGTGCACCCCGTGAAGTGAATATACCCTCTGGCTATCAATAGTTAATTTACCAATTAACATTTGTGATTTTCCATGGTTATGTAAACGTTTACCAGAGGGTAAGTAATATGTCCATGTATTTCCAGGTGTCTTATTAGTCTTATAAGCTACAAACATCAATACATAAACCATGGCAACCCAGGAATATCCGTCATATCAATTCATATCATATCTATTTGGTGGTATTTCAGTCTGAATTGGGTCATAGTATGGGTAGTAGCCACTTACTGACAATGCAGGGGTGGCTACTGCACATTTCATTTTTAGGACACTAACGGACACCGCGTTGCACCTCTTGTATCTTGAGATTCCTGAGCTCTTCCCACAGGAACTTGATCCAAAGAACCGTGTTTTGTGCTCAAAGCAGCCAAAACGACTAGGGTTGGCTTGGAATGGTGGTTGCATGCGTCTTTTATGGCCAAACCGATCCAACCGCTATTGAGTCCCCCACTGACCAATTTTGTCGAGGAGTTGCTGCTGACGGTGCGAATGAGTGTGCCCTGCCGTCAGACTTTTCAGCCGCTCGGCCAAGGGGTAGAGATACCGTATATTTATAATTTATATTCTTTCGGGGTTCATTCGTGGTATCCTTTGTGTTATCTCCCACCCTTAAGGTTGACATGGTGCCAATACAACAAAACTGGTGGCTGAGTGCGCGCTTGGGGATAACCCAAGGGTCGCTCCGCAAACAATATAGAACGATTCTAGGATGACTGACCACTGACAATGATCCAATGAGCGGCTCCCCCGGCTGCTTTTTAAGTCATTTTAAGTCAACCTTAGATGTCAGAGATAAACCACATCCATTTCAAATTTTGGTAAACATAACTTGTCTCATTGCCTGGAATAACTGACAGAGACAGAGACGCCTTTTTTTGTTCTTCCGAAAGCTGCCGAGGTTTACTCTCCAGTTCCGGGGCCCAACGTTTGGGGAATTGCTTGCTTGCATGTTGCATGGGTAGCCTTGCACTTGGGTGGGAAGATGTTATATATATATACATATATATGGACATACATACATACATACATATATATATATACATATATATATATATATCCAATCAGGCACTCTCTATTTGTCTATGTGATGATTCTAGAATCCTTTGGAATCAAAAATCCAAGGCTGCCATGGTGAAATCAGCCCTCAACAATTCGCCCTCCCAGATCCTTCGGTCCAAGTCACCAGGCGAGTGAAAGCTGACGCGCAAAGCTAGTTCCACCGAATGTCGTTGGCTCGGGGCTTTGGTCCAAGGCGTGGGGTCCGTGTCCAAGGTGTAAGCTACATTCCCGACGAGCAAGATGACCATGTCAGCCATTCACATGTATTCACATTTATTCATCCAAAAATGTGGGGGCGAAAATTGATGAAGATTGACCCATATGCATCCATATGCCATATGCGCCTCTGTTGTTTTTGTGTGGAGAAAAGGTTCACCCAGCGGAAAGCAACATATCAGAGACTACAACAATTCAATTGTCAATTTGCAGGGAACAAGCGGGGGCAGGGTTATGGCACCAGTATATGATTTTATCCCATTGCATGTCTATTGGGGTCCTTCAAACAGCAAGGCCTGTATTGCATGAAAAGTTAACAGAAGTTCGGCAGCTTACCAAGGGGGCCTTTGTGCAAATCAATTGCTCATTTCATCGGAAAATTCCAGGAATACGCTAGCTACATAAATAAATAAATAAATAAATAATTATATATATGTATATATATATATAGAAAATTCCAGGAAACCATGAAATACGCTAGCTACATAAATAAATAAATAAATACATAAATAAATAAATATATATATATATACACACACGTATATATATATATATAGAACTATATATATATAACACGATTAGTACATATATATATATATATATATATTCCGTACATCATGTTTATAATTTAGGTACTCTGAACAAAAATCATCATTCGTTTTGCGATACTAGGCAAGGATTCGCCTGCGACAGACCGTTGCCTTACGCTTGTTATCGGATCATCTCAAGGGATGTCCTTGACTTTCTTGGTGCCAATTGACGAGGTCACCGTGATATTCATATGATGACAACATTTCTGATTGAACACGTGATATTCAAGTTGCATCAAGCGCTCAGTATCATGTTGCTGACAGAGATTATAGCTGGTTGATGCCTGTTTGCCAAGCTGCAATTGCAGGAGGTTTAGCCCAGTAACGCCTAATTACATGGATCAATGGATTGGTTTAAGGGAAATCTTAACCGGAAACCAAATATTTTTCCATTAAATATGGTTTTTCCTGTAAAAATTCCCTGAAACCAATCCATTGAATGGAGTTGTTTGCGGAGCTCTTTATTCTAGCTCGTCCAAGTTTGGCGCACATGTATTGATCTTTGGTGTCATCCAGCCAATGTCGGGCGGGTGGCAAAAGGGCTGCAGGGCCGGGGACGTGTTGAGTTCCCACAGAAGTGATGAGAATTGCTGTTGGCAACTTCTGGTTTATTTGAATGAAGATCAGAGGATCAAAGACATATGGGGGGTTCCATAAATGGGGGTGCCCCAAAAATAGATGGTTTGTGATGGGCAAGCTTATAAAAATGGATGATTTAGGATTACCCCCATTTTACAAAACCCTCATATCATGGTAGGTGAACCGCGGTGAACCCCTCAATGATCAGTGAGAAGGCTTTGATATAGAGCTGACCAGCCCATAGGCACCGGCCTGTCTATCCATATTTGGCAAGGCCGCAGGGCTACCCCCAACTCACCATGTTTGAAATGTATTCAAGGGTAGAGAAGAGGAGAGGTTTCTGGATCCATGGGACTGGGAAGATCCGAGATTTTTTGATGACACCTCAAACTTGAATTAAGATCTACATGTCGAGCTTTGGCGTTGAACTGACTTAGTTTGGACTTGGAGCCCTTTCCTTGCAGCCAGGACTTACGACCCGATGCTGCCATGTATTGCCATTTCCTTGGCGGGCCTTGCAGCGTGCGCGGGTGTGTATGTGTGTGTGTGCGTGTGTTTGTGTAGATTTTCAGCTGCAAAACTCATTGGTTTCACACCCAAACACCCAACAAAATGGCGAGTTCTTGAGATTGGGGATCCCCAGTACTACAATGGTCCGATTTTGGATGATTTCGGGTACCCCCATGACTGAAAAAACCTCCATATGATGAAATATGAACATGTTTGTTTCTAGCCTCTAAGTCAGTTTTATTATCCTCATGATGATTTGAAGTGCCTCATGTTGTCTTGTGTTCCTTTCCCACGGAAATTACAAATAAAGTTTGAAACATGTTATTGCAAGTGGATATTGCATTCGTTGGGTTCACTTGGGGTGTTATGGCAACTCATCAGCACATCCAGGAACAACTGAAATTAATATGCCCAACACTTGTTCTCAAAGTCACACTCAGGAGTGCATTCTCTTTACCCAGGCTCTTGAAAAGCTGGTTGAAAAGGAGGCACTGCAGGAGGCACTCCTGTGAGAAAACCAACTCTGACCCTGAGGCGCCACCATCACTGCTTGCCAGAGAGTTGCGAGGTGCCCCCATTTTATTTCGCAAAGTCATGGTGGGGTCGTGGGAAGATATGGAAAGACAAGGCCTTCAACATATTAAACTTATTAAACTACTAGAATTAGGAGATCTTATCATGGGGTTCGAGTTGATCTAAAGATCCCAAAGGAGTGGGATACATGCACTTCAGCTGCGGAGGTTCAGGATAGCACCAACATGATCAAAGAAATGATTTGAACCCAGAATAGTGGCTTCACCTCCCTGAAGGTGGGAAGCAGCCCTGGCATTGCTGATGAAGGCGCGGGGTGAAGCAAAAATAAGGCTGCGAGACTGCGAGATGTACATGGTATCCAAACATATTCCAAGCACGGTGTCATTGTGTGCAGTCCAATCCCCCTGGCGAAAATTAGGACCACCATATGGATCCAAAACAGGGCCCAGAACATGACTGGCCTCATGAGAAGTGATGCTGAACTATTCTCTATTATGTTTGTGATCATGATCATCATGTTTACTCTACATATTACTATTGTCAATCATTACCAAGTTATC